TACCCCAAATCTAATTTTAACTGTTTTTTATTGAAACTTGTTTATTTGCCATCTATGCATATAAAGAAATTTAAGTAAAACTGACTATGTATTTTTTCTGGTCTTATAATATAATAAAAGTAGAATAATATTAAGAAACCCTTATGGACCCCGTTGGGTCCATAAGGGTTTCTTAATATTATTCTAAAGCTATTTTCTTTTGGCATTTTAAAGTAATTACTATTTAAATGAGAATAGGCCATAATTGAAGGTTAAAATAAATTTATTGACGTTTCAATATCCACCTAGGAAATCAAAATACAAACAATCAATAAACTTACTTTAAAAACGTTTATTTTAATAACGATTTCCGAAGTGGAAATTGAAACGTCAATAATCTTACTTTAACCTTTAATTGCGTCTTATTCCCCTTGAAAAAGTAATTGCTTTAAAATGCCACAAGAAAATAGCTTCAAAATAAAAATTAATAAGTCCAGATTTGTAAATATAGTTTGAGTTGATTTCTCTATATTCAATTTAATTTTCTACTTCTGTAAATAAACTATATTTGTATGTGTGTTTTGGATTTTTATCTTCCCTTAAAAAAGTAGGCATCCCATGGCAACTTGACTTGGTTGAGAGGTCTTAACTGTCAAATTTGGTTTACAGGTTAAATTAAAATTTTCTTAATTTGAAATTTTTTTAAAAACGATTACCGAATTGGAAATCGCAATGTTAAGACAAACCTAAAATATAATTTTTATTATAATCAGTTGTGATATAATACCATATAAATTATTTTCCAAGAAAAACTAATTTCTTTTGGCATAGTCAACAAAAATTAGTTATTTTTGAGGTGAAATTAAACCAAAAGTAATTATTATGAACATTACATTTTTTGCTAATTTTGAATTGCTAATTCTATCCGCTAATTTAAGAACTTATTTTTAGGCACAGGCTGTAATCTACTTTTTATCGAGCAATTTGCGCGGTAAATGATACAACGCCGCTTAAACTACGGAACAAGCAATGCGCCTAAACCACCTGACTAAGCAAGAAAAAATGCCCACCTGGATGATTCCTGCTTGATATCCAGGATCAGGTTATTCCAACTAAAAATTACCTAAAATATATTGTTAAAGGCCATTAAGTCCAAAATGACAAATGGCGATTTGGATGCCAAGCCCAAAAAACCATCCAACAACTTACCGGTGGCTGCCAGGTATTTGTCGGTACTAATTATAAAGAACGCTATGACTCCGTGGGAAAGATTATCTACCAAAAACTAGCTGACAAACTGGGACTTCTCCATACCGGCCGTCTTCTTTATTATCAATACGTTCCTGACAGAATGCTTGAAGATGACAACTACAAGCTATATTGGGACCGCACTGTGCTCACAGACCAACCAGTGGCACATAATAGACCGGATCTCATACTAGTTAATAAACTTCCTAAGCAAACAACACTTATTGATGTCGCGATGCCCAACACCAACAATTTACGTGTTAAATACAACGAAAAGATCGCCAAGTAGAGAGATCTAGAAATACAAATCAGGCGACAGGAGTAAGAAAAATTTTGGGAAATACTCCAGCATACCAAGTCCCATAGGGCTCGATAACATGGAAAGAGTCCCACCAGAGCTCAATCCTTTGATACTGTAGGTATCTGGAATGAGTGAATTTTTCCCTTAGAGGGAGTGTAATTAAATATTAATAATAAGTTAATTAATTAATGTTGTATATTTGGAAAAGAATTTAATTTATCTTTCTTCCACCCAAAACGAGTCTTTATAAAGTATGCGAGAAAAACCAAAAGAAATTAGTGTCAGATGAAAATAATATTGCTATAATCAAATAATAAAGAGGTGGGTTGATAGGCTAGGTTAGCATCCTATCCATTGTAAAAGAAAACAAGACTCAAAGAACCGATATAAAGCCTCTGAACCAGACGGAACCTAAGATGAAGAACCATGCAAAGAAACGAAAACCGAGAAGGAAAAATAAGCCCACAATCACATTAGCAAGATGGAATATTACTTCTTTCAACAACAAAGATCAAGAGATAATGGAAGAACTGATAAAAATAACATAAATATTTGTGCAATTTAAGAAACCAAGAGAAAAGGTAAACGCCAAAAAGAATACACCCAATATTTCCTAGCATACAGTGGAGTAAAGAAAGAAGATCGAGCACCAGCAGGCGTAGGTATACTTGTTCATAAAAAATTTAAAGGCAACATAAATTACTGCAGTTATTCATCATCATCATCATCCAGCCTCTATGTATCACGTCCACTGCTGGACATAGGCCCCCCTTAAACTCCTCCATTCCTTACGATTTTGTGCTCTTTGTTGCCAATTTTTAGTGATACGCCTGATGTCGTCGGCCCAACGTGTAGGCGGTCTTCCTCTACTGCGTTTGTCTGCTCTTGGCCTCCAATTTGTAATTTTGCTCGTCGGAGATATAACTGCCGTTATATCTCCGTAGAAATAATACATATGAACATCACAATGGACTATCAAAAATTAAATGTTATATCTATCTATAGCCCCGAGGACTGCAAACCTAAGGAGGAACGAGAGGCATTCTACGAACAATTGTAAACCATCCTGGATAAAATACCTCATAAAGAACCCTTAATTCTTATGGGCATTTTAATGCACAAATCGGAAATGAAACAGTTTCAGAGAGTAAAACAAAGATTTAATGAAAACCATGTTAACGCAAATGAACTGAGAATCAATAATACATTTTTCGACCAAAAGCTCCAGTATAAATATGCATTTGAAAACTCTAGGGGGCATAAATATATGATTAATTTTATAGTCACTAAAAGAAAAATCTACCCAAAGCAAATTCTAGACATCCGAACTTTAAACTCAGCAGAAGCAGGAAGTGAACACAAACTGGTACTAGCAAACATAAGAATAAAAATAACACCAAAACAACATTTTCTACTGGAAATAACCGAGAAAAAATTCAATGTAGAATCACTGTGGAACGACTCAACAAGAGAAATGTAGCAAAGAAGGCTGGGAAAATATATAAACGCGAGCTGGGAGAAAAATAAAAAAACATTAAAGAAGCAGCAACAGAAGCTCTAGGAAAACGCAAAGTAATAATGAACAGAAAAAACAACAACAATACACCATGGTTCAGAAAAGAAATAAAAAAGAAATGTAAAGAGAAATGCGAGGCCTACACAAAGTACAAAACATTAAATACCGCAGAATCCCGAGAGAACTATAGAAAAATACGAAATGAAAGAAAGCAGTTGGTAAGAAGAACAAAAAATGAACAATGGGAACAGTTTACAAAAAGGATGGAAAGCGACTTCAACAGCAAACAATAACAAATATGGAGATTCATAAGAAACCGACGGAAATAAATGACAGAAATGAAGGAATACCAGAAGAAACCGACGGAAATAAATGACAGAAATGAAGGAATACCAGCAAATGAATAAGAAAGATACCTCATGGAACTATTTATGGCAAAGAAAAATAATAATAATCACACAATAACGTACCTGAATTAACACACGAAATAGAAATCAGCTTTTGAGGAAGTAGAAATAGCCAAAAAATTACTCAAAAATAGAAACTCACCAGGACCAACGAGCTTCTAAAACACGGAGAAGAAAATATAACCGTAGAGATAACAAAACTTATACAAAACCTAATATTGCCCTGTAAGATACCAGACGCATGAAGAAACAACATAATGATACCGATGTTCAAGAAAGGAGATAAAGAAGACCCCAATAATTATAGAGGTATAAATTTACTGAACACCGCACTTAAGCTTACTACAAAAGCATTAACCAACAAATTCAATAAACTAACAATTTTATCAGATGAACAAGGATTCAGATCCGGAAGATCGTAGACGCCGTATTTGTACTGTACTGTAAACAGCAACACCCGTCGCCAAATCTTTCGTTTAATAAAAATCTATAGTCTAACACGAATTGTAAATATAAGACCCTAGTCCCTAACATTCATGAATACGTGCTCACACCAGAAACCTTTTTATCATTATCTAATATAATTTTTTAAACATAGGGCACACATACATGAAGGTGGACTCGATGCATTCAGCAATCAAAAGAGCAAAGAAAAATGCATGCTTCTTTACACACTATGATATTTTAATCTTTTTGAACTTTTTCCGACTTGCAAGTTCTAAACGTAATAAAAATGAAAGTTGAAAATCCTTAATTCTTGAAAAAATAACATTCACGAATTAAGATTTTTTGATTTCATAGACTTAAAAGCTCTCGCAAGTTACTTAATTAAACATAAATACAAAGATGAAAACGACAAAAAGATGAATAGCTAAAAATGAAATGCAGTTGTGTGAAAAGGCCAATCTAGGATTGTCTTTAAATACAGATTCTCAGAGACTGAGTTTCAAGTTTTTCTGGTAGCTAAAAGAACAACTGTGATACACTTAAAGCAAATTTAAAAATCATTGTTACCAATTACTAAAAAAAGAAGAAATGCAGTTTGCTTAAACTTGTACAAAATAACATAATGGTACACATATTGCAAGATCGTCAGCATAATGGAAGTGCTAAAGTTGTACCAAGTAAAATAATTCCACATATATTGCGAGATCGTCAGAATAATGAAAGTGCTTGATTTTAGTCAGCGTGGGTTCATACCGTCGTGGAGTTCTTTGTTCTCTACAACTCTTAAATTTAATTTTAGATTATTAACTTGCATTTGGTGACTTGAATTCCAACGATTATTTTTTGTTTAAAGTCTAGAAAAAATAATACAGTTTCATGGATCTTTATGGATCGAGCTATTTCAAATATTTGGATTCATAGAAGGCGTTGCTAATGTTAAAGAGTGTGAGATAAGCAGAAGATTATTTTAAAAAATAAACATTTTTTTTGTTAAAATGCTTTAGCTTTCATATTAGATAAGCTAATTATAGAATAATACTCGTATTGGACGTAAAATCATAAATAACGGACTATTTACTTACAAAAAAAATATCATACTTACTGCAAACCAACTCTCGCTGGGTCACAGCGCTCGCATGGCTTCCATTAACTAACGCTTTCGCCCACGCTGCCAAGTCCCTGTGCGTTTCTGCTCGCAGCGAATGTGTTATCACTCCTTCCACAGTCGCGCATCGAATGCTAAATTCTGGTAGCTCTGCCTTTTTGCCAGATCCTACTAGCCGAGTTGCTATCAGTGAATAAGCTTCCGCAGGTGCTCGCCATGCTTCACCTGACCACGGCGCGCTTTCGTAAAAGCGTAACTCACTGTCTGTCACGGCCGCGAAGATAGACTGCCATCGGTCCATGTCTTCGGAAGATTCGGAACTGGACATAGTCTATACAAAAAGTAATATATTAAAATGCCATACTTTATTATTCACCAGATAGCTGTCCCCCTTTTTGACTTTAAAAGTTACGACAGACGGAAAGATAATAAAGGAACTCGGTACTTTTCTAATGTAAAAGTGGTTTCAGTTAAATTGGCTGGAACATTCCAGATACGTGGCTTTGGTCATTAATGCGCATTAGTTCGCCAAGATTCAAAAATGAGGAGGGATGTTTATGAGGAGTCTCACTCGAATATTCTAAAAGTAAACACGTTGTTATCATTTTGCAGTAATTGATTTTTAATATTAATGATTTTTTTTTATTGAGTTTAATGCGTCGACAACTAATGGTTATTGGCATGGTACAGTTAATTTTTACAGTCAGGTACCTAGTGTAGAGTGTAGTGTGTGTGTAGAGTAATTGTCTTGATACTTAGCAAAGTCGACGTCACTGTCTTTGCTAAGAGACGCTAATTGTATCCGAACGTCTGCGGTTCCTCCGGTGAGTACCGATCGCACAAGGATAGAAATTATTTTCATTTATTAATTTTTAATAAACGAAAATTTCTCCACCAAGGTGAGATTCGAACTCACGACCTTTAGGTTCAAAGGTAGACGCTCTTACCACTGAGCCACAGAGGGGGTTTAATGAGTTTTTAATTATTATATTAGAACAAATTTTTGGGAAAAAAGTGGTGAAGTGTTAATATTGTACGCCACACATCATTTGTGAGTATTTAATTTACATCATAATATTATTACCATCAACAAAAAATCAATAATACATTTCCATTCACCTGTTGTGAGTGCTTATCTACCAACTGGTTGTTTTTTTTTTCTCAACTTATCGTCGGTGCTGTTTCATCGCCAGAGGCGAACTGAGTTTAAATTTTTTGGAAGAAACTCCAAAAGAAAGCAAAAAATGGATAATCTTACTTAAAATTATTCAAATGTCAATATTACTTCAGAGAATGTCAATAGCACGGTTAAATTATACTCAGCAGCGTTAGCTAAAAACTCCACTCCGTTACCAAATAGAGATCAAGCGATAGTTTTCTCATCGATAAAAGGTTGCAAAATTCTAGACCTCTTACAGATTGGACCAATAGTTAACCCACAAAATATAATATATTAAGTCGAAAGAAAATGCATTAGTTCTATTCTGTCCACGTCCTCACATCAATCAATGGTCGGGTTCTTACACCCTTACCATGACAAAAATTTTTTCAATTTTTTAACGTGTTTGTGAAGTCCAGTGTCGGCTTTTTATATGTTTTTTATATGTTTTAAGAATTTCAACACCTACAAAATCATAATTTTGAAATTTAAGGAAATGAGATCTCTCCTTTGTAGTGGTATTTAAAAAATTGACCATAGCTCTGATGATGGCCCGAAAGCGCTCAGCTAGGAATTGCCTAAAATATACACACTTCAAAAATACTTTTTTGCATTTTCTTTCGACTTGTCATAAGTGTGTACAAAAAAATATCAGTCTTTTGATTATATAATATATTGTTCACGTATATCTAACAATCAAGTTTGGATATATTTGAGAGACAAAAAAACTGTCGACGATCTTCTCAAAAATAATGAAGCCATAACAATTAACAATACTCGTCTAGTTGCTCGGCGACTAATTACCCCATCACAAAGATTGCTAGTATCTAATGTAAGCCCCAAAATTCGTAATGAAGATATTACACGACATTTACAAAGCTTAGGTTTAACATTGTTATTGCCAATGACTCCACTGAGAATTGGAGCTACTGATCCAGCTTACAGCCATATAATAAGTTTTAGAAGACAAATCAACATTTCTCCTCCTGTAAATACTCACGTTCCTGAATTTATTGAAATAGAACAAGATGGAATAGTAAGCAAGTTATTTTTAACATTAGACAGCCATCATTTATTCTTCGCTTATCTACTGCTGGACATAGATCTCCTTCATAATTTTCCATCGATTTCGATCTTGTATTTCGTGCATCCAATTTTGGTATATTGGTATATCAGACGATCTGAAAATATGGTTCAGCTTGCCCAAGTCAGTCTTATATGACGGAGAAGCTCAACGGTTTTGACAGGAAATTAGACAGCCATAATTGTTTCAAGGGCAAACAAACAGGATATAATGCTTCACAATGTACTGTTTCTGTTCCACCAACTTTAAATATAATACTTACGGTAAGCAATACTCAATCAGGTAACATATCTTTTGCCAAAACTTCACAAACTCCTATTGCTGGAATCACTACAACTTCTTCTTTCAAGAGCTCACAATCCGCCAATCAACCCCCTCTGTGGCTCAGTGGTAAGAGCGCCTGCCTTTAAACTTAAAGGTCGTGAGTTCGAATCCCACCTGGGTGGAAATTTCCGTTTATTAAAAAAAATTAATAAATGAAAATAATTTCTATCCTTGTGTGATCGGTACACACCGGAGGGACCGCAGACGTTCGCATACAATTAGCGTCTCTTAGCAAAGACAATGACGTCGACTTTGCTAAGTATCAAGACAATTACTCTGCACGCACAAACACAAACACACACACACACACACACACACACACACACACACACACACACACACACACACACACATTAATAAACTTATCTTGATTGAGACGGGCTGAATGACAATTGTCCAAGCCAAAACACACACAAAAAAAAATCCGCCAATGTACACAGTTCGCAAATAAACCAAAAATTAGTCCCCTATATGTCTGAGTCATCTTCGACCCAAAATCCAGATCTGTCAAATCCACCCCTCTCTCAGCCTATTATTACCCCTATGAATTCTGAGATAATCGAAAATGCCTTGGTTGACAATACAAAGTGTGATCCTTCCATAACACAAAATATTTGACATAATCGTACTGCTTCTGCTGTTTCATCTCCTACTTCTAAGGATGTCCAATTTGCCGTTCCAACTTTAAAACAGAAAAGAAAGAGCAAAATAGAGTAAAAACCGGAACAAAACATAAAGTTTTCAGACAATATTTAAACATATATAGATAACCACTCTCCTTCCTTTTGTCTTAACAGTCAGCAAATTCAAAGTCTACTTGAAAATTGCTGTGGCTGTTCTGATGTACTAACGGTTGCGAATGATTATTCTTCAGACATCGCAGCTCTTATTAATATGTTGGAAGAAATACGTCCCCATTTAGAAGACAGAACAACAAAATATCGCAGCAGAAAATTGAGGAAAAAATTAGCTGTACAACTTGATTAGCTTTCAAACTCATTTATCTATGTTACAACTATTAATCAATCAATACACACCACAAATTATTTGTCTCCAAGAAACTAACTTTAAAAATTCCACGTGCATTAAAGTCCTTCAAATTCATATTTTAAAAACAGAGATAATGCAAAACACGCATCAGGTGGAGTTGCAATATAGGTAAAGAAACACATAATATTCAAAGAAATTTCATTTAACACAAATCTCGAAGCTGTAGCTATAGAAATTGGTACTACACAAAAGATCAACATATGTAATATACACTTACCTCCAAATTATAACCTAGAAGAACAAGATTTTGTAAACTTAATAAATCAGGTTCCTAAGCCGAAATTCATTTTAGGAGGTCTAAATGGACACAATACTAACTGGGGTTCCTTTACAACTACAAATACTGAAAAAAAAAAAGATTAAAAAGATCATAAAGACATTAAACCTTGCAATAATAAATGATGGTAGTAGCACACACTTAAATTTATCGACAGGGACATTTTCTTCTATAGATATCTCACTCTGTACGCCAACTCACTCAACTCACTCACTCAATTAAATCACAATTGGTATGTAGAAAAAGATTTATATGGAAGTGATCACTACCCAATTTTAATAGAAAAAACACTTGATCAAACCTACGCCAGTTACACCTGATACAAAATGGAGGGTATATAAAGCTGAATGGTGCAGCTTTCAAGATTATCCGTAGCAAATCATCAAAAATTTCCTTAGAAAATTCAATAGACGAAATAATTCTATAGTTCAATAAACTCAACGGAAGTAGCTCTAGAAACGATAGGTAAAACAAAGTTTATTAAAAGAGATAAAGTAACTCCTTGGTGAAATGAAGAATGAAGAGAAGCTATTAAGGAAAGTAAGAAATATCTTCAAAAGTACAAATGGAACAAAAACCAAGAAATTAATCTTAAAAGAAGTAGGGATACAGCCAAAATGATTATCACAAGATATAAAAGAAAATCCTGGATAAAATATGTAGAAACGATCAATAACTACACATCTTTAATAGACATATGGAGGAAAATAAAGAATATAACAGGCCCTAGCTCATATCAAGGAATCGATTCATTAGAAGCAGAAAATAAATCGTCTATAACAAACCATGCAGAAATCGTAAAAAAATAGCGGAAACATTCAAGTTAACATCCACAAATTCTAACTTGATAAAGATTTTTTAACATACAAAGAACAAAAAGAAACGATCCCTATTAACGTAGTAAACAATAATGAACCTATAAATGCACTTATCACAATCACAGAACTAAGAGAGATGCTAGATCATTTAAAGGACACATCCCCTGGTCCCGATGACATTCCAACTTTCTTTTTGAAACTCCTACCTGACGAAGCAGTAGAAATATTATTAAAAATATATAATCGTATATGGACCAAACATCAATTTCCCAATTTATGGAAAACAGCTATAACTATTTCCATCTTAAATTGTAATAAGCCACAAAACAAAGCAGGTTCTTATCGTCCAGTGTCTCTAACTTGTGTAATGTGTAAGGTTTTAGAAAAAATTATAAATAAACGTTAATTGTGGTGTCTGGAAGAAAATAACCAACTGATTAATGAACAATCTGGATTGTGTCCTTTAAGATCGACTACCGACAATTTAGTAGATATAAAATCACATATTAATAATGCATTCTACAACAACTAAAAATATATTGCAATTTATTTTGATTTGCACAAAGCATTTGATATGTCTTGGCATCACAAGATAATTTCAACACTGGAATCATGG